TACTACATCAACACCGGTCAGGCCGACAAAGCCACCAGGCCGGAAAGAGGCACTTAAGTGGATCCAAAACACTTAGGAAATTTTTGGAAAAATCCTAAGTGTTATGATAGTATAGAAACGGCATCCAGGCCGATCAAGCCATCAGGCCGGAATGAAATAAAACTACGTGGACCCAAAACACTTAGGAAATTTTTGAAAAAAATCCTAAGTGTTCTGATAGTGAAGCAAAGATGAACAGGCCGACCAGGCCACCGGACAGGGAGGACTACCTCACGAACGTAGCGGGCACTCGCGGGTGACCCAAGTTGTGACCTTGATACTTAGACAAATTTCAGACTTAAAATGACAAAAGGCAAACGAGCATACAAGGAACTCAAAGCCGAGCAGGACGGAAAAAACTTTTCATTCATGATCAATTAAGTACAATTGGGGGCGCTTCGGCCACTACATCAGTTTGGCAAAAAAAAATGAAAAGCTAACTACAAAGGAGCAGGGAGTAGCCGATCAAGCCTTTTGGGCACCTCCATCCGCGGCCGGCTCTTCGACCTCGTCAGCTCCCTCCTCGGCCTCAGTCTCTTGGCCGGCGGCGGCTGCAGCACTGGTGGCATCGTCCAGAAAATCGAACTCTGTATAATCCGGCTCGCCGAGGCCGGAGCTCTCAATGGGGGACTCCCGCTCCGACAAAGGAAGCTTGGCCTGCTCTTCTGGATCCTTCATCAGCTTTGGCAGCTTCAAGTTCCGTCTGGCCCACCCGGACGTGTAGTTCATGGCCTTCAGAGCACGAGACAGCCGCCGACATAGGAGCCTTTGCATCCGCTCCTGGCCCATGTTATAATAGACGGCCATCTCCCTACTGAAATACTCCTGGCCGGCGGGGGAGTTCATCCCCCAATTCTCAAGCCTGGCGGCCACCACTTCATAGCACCAGGGGAGCCTCTCATCGGCCTTCCACCCTTCGGCCAGGAACTGCTCCACGGCCTTATCAGCAGCCTGCACAGCGGCAGCCTCGGCCTCAGCTCTCGCCTTTACGGCTTCTTCATTCTTGCGCCGCTTGGCCTCAAGCTCCCTTTTGCTCTCCTCAAGCTTGGCCAGGGCATCGTCCCTGGCTGCATCGGCTTCATCGGCCCTTTGCTGCAAGGCCTTGGCATCCTCCCGGAGCCGATCCAGGCAAGCTACCGCCTCGTCGGCCGAGGCAGCCTTCTGTTCCAGCTCTTTCAAACGAGCTATCTCCCGGTACTGCCTCTTATGGCTCTCCATGAGCATAAAGGCACTCTGCAGAAACAAGGAAAACAAAACTCAGGCAAACTACTCTACACGGACGACGAGAAAAACGACTCATAAGGAAAATAACTTACTTGGACGAGGAGGTCCATGCCGCCTTCATACACCTTCACGTCCCCAAGCTTCTTCAGGTAAGCCCGATCTTTGGCCGGCATGGCCTGGGCCAGCACGTCATGGCCGAGGACGGCATCGTCAAACACCCCCCCGCCGACGGGGTATTCCACCACCTTCTGGTAGGTGGCAGCGGCGATCTCCTTGCCAGCCCTCCTCGTCCGTGGCTCCTGGACGATAGGGAGCGATTGGGCGGCATCACCGGGAGCAGCAGTAAGGTCCACGACGGGACCACTATCGTCCACGCTCGGGACAGTCAGAGTACCGGCCTCGAGAGCCGGGGAAGGAGACGGTGCCCTCTTCGTCTTCTTGGAGACGTTCAGGCCGGCTTCAGTCAATTTTTTCTGGCCGTCAGAGGCCGGCCTCTTCTTCTTCGATTGGGCAGGCTTTGGGGCCGCACCAGCAGTAGCCCCGCTCCCCTCGGCCGCCTTAGCAGCCAACTCCTCGGCTGCTTTGGCCTTTGCTATAGCAATGATGGAGCGACGGTCCATGACAAAATCTACAAAGGAAAAACACAACAGATTAGCAAGGCAAAAGAACAAAGCATAAAGACAGAAAGCCGAAGAAATAGTTACCATCGGCCTCAGCAGGAATGCCCAAGTCCGGGCCGTCGGCCTCTTCAAAGGTGGTGGTCATCCTCGGCCAGAGTTGGATGTCATCCTCCTTATCGCCATACACATGGTATCTAAAGAAGCCGAGGGCGGTCATCTTGTATTCAGTAATGTAATCCTTCACGCTCCTCGGCCCCCTTCCAGGAAAGCCTCCACCTGAGCGTCCAAGATAGAGCTCTTCAGCGGGTCATGGAGATTGAACCTCCCGGTATGGCCGAGGGAGGGAAATTCGGTGCCACTCTCACCCAGGGATACAAAAACGAACTTGCTCTTCCACCCATGAATGGACGAAGGCAAGTCCGTGAAGCTCCTCTTCTTCGGCAGCTGTTGAAGAGTAGCATAGGCCGCACAGTTCTTGTGGTTTCCTCGGCCGATCTGGTACAGATTCATGAATAGGGCCGTTGTCGGCCTGTAGCCCAGCTCCTCACACCGGAGCAAAAACCCCACCATCAAGGAATAGCTGTTCGGCGTCAGCAAGGCCGGAGGAAGCCCTACCATGTCCAGGTATTCAGTGATGAAAGGGTGAAGGGGGAACCTCAACCCCTTAGCGAAACTCATCGGGTATACTCCAAAGTACCCCGGTGGCGGAAGAAGAACATGGTCCGTCGGCCTGGGTGCCCTAACCCGCCCGAACGGCCCCACATACATCTGGGCAACAAGATAGTCGGCCGCGCTGCTCTCCGGCTTAATCAGGAAGATGTTGGTGAGATCCAGGTAGGAGAGGCCCGGCCCACTCTTCGGCCTCCTCACCCTCTTCGGCTTATCTGCTCCCTTCACGGCAGACACTGGCCTCGGGCAGGGAATGACAGCGGAAGTGGACGCCCCGTCCACCACTCGGGACGCACCTGCGTCCTCACCTTTTGAAGACGAGGCGGACTCCTCGTCCTCGACTTCGTCGTCCACCGGCTCTTCGGATTTGTAAGGACTCAAGTGTTGTATCTCCTCCTCGAACTCCTCGAGCACCTCATAGTCAAGTGACCTCGTGGAGGGCTGGTCGTCGTAAGGGTAGTAGTCTTCGTTCAAGCTCTTCATAACCACTACTACGGGCCTAAGGAGATTAACTTAGGATCTAAGGGTGTTCAAACGCCTAACACTAGATCACTAGCCTAGGAAGCAAAGTATGAAAAGTGAGGAAGATTGCGATGAACACTAACCTTGAACACGAAGAACACGAAGAACAAGCTTGGGAGTTTATCTCTCTAGAAAATTGGCCAGCACTTCAACAATTCAGAATGCAAATACGTTTCCTCGTCGGAGGGGGAGGGGTATTTATAGAACCCCCCACCCAACGGTCACTACACGTGGCACCCTCCCAATGGCCACATCAGCGGCCACCAATGGGAGGCCACCACGTCACCATCGGGCCAAACTACATGTCAACAGCCCACTGGCAAAACAGACTCTACGGCCTATACACGTGCCGGCTTCACGAGTGCCAGCAAGCGCCCATAACGTCCTACTTGCTCGCCATCGCCCACAACATCCTACTTGCTCACCAAGATCACAAATGCCAAACAATAAGGACACGGCAACGGCCAGGAACGTAACGGCCACAGAACAAAAGGAATAAAGAGCCCACAGCCATCGGCTCCTCGTAATGACCCTTGATGATAACTCTCTACAAGCGATCTGCGCACAAGGGTTCTCCCACCAGGTTACCTTGGCCAGAAAATCGCCATGAGGGTTGGATTCAGGGAGACTACGGAGAGGCCGCTTCGGCCAGGGACCCAAGCTACTCCTTCACCCCTCACACTCTTCGGCCTGAAGCAGTGGGGGACTGGGGGACTACACCGACCTCAACAAAACAAAAAGGAACAATACAAAGAACATGAATGTAACCACAAAGCATGGCCACATCGTCCACGCATCACAATGACGCCTCGTCGGCCAGAGGCACATAACATCATCAACAACGGCCAACAAGCCACTGAAGGCAAGGACACTCATCGTCCTCCGCCAACAGTTAATCATGATGGGCTCTTCGGCTAAGAACACGAAGGCCAACCAACAACGGCCAAAAGGAGTGCGCGAGCACCCTCATCGGCCACCCAAAGGAAAGGGCGCCATCGTCCTCAAAGCAAGGATCAACCTCAACGGCCTCATCGGCCCAAACATGAACTCCAACCATCAACGTCCAGGAAAGGGAAAGCGTGCCTTCAACGGCCACCATTGAAACAAGACACTCATCATCCCCAAACGAACACATTAAGGAAACAACGGCCTCCCCGCCCACAGCGAGGAACAGGTAACGGCCAAAGCACAGAACAGGATCACCAAAAGGAAACAACACCAACGCCGCAACAGCTAACGGCCCGGCAATGCCCGCATCGGCCAAAAGCACTAAAGCACGGGAATCTACTCTCCTTCACTTCGTCTACGTCTCAGCTTAGAGAGTGGGGGACTCCTGATGGAGTATATGGGTCTGAGCCCCCGGACCCACATACTCGGAAGAACAGAAAGCACAAGACACAGAGTGGCGCCCTCGTCGGCCAAGACGCCCCCGTCGGCCGAAAAGGGGCCAACTCAGATTATGGTCCTGAGCCCAAGGAACCCGGGTGCCCTCGTCGGCCGTGCCCTCGTCGGCCGTGCCCTCGTCGGCCGTGCCCTCGTCGGCCACGCCCTCGTCGGCCATGAAGACCTCCCAGAACCGGATTTTACACTTACTCATTTGTACAGCCCATTAGTGGCTTTGTATTCAGCCCAGTAGCGGTCCAGTTGTAAATGGGCCTCCCAAGCCCAAGGCTTGGGAGCCCATCCCGTATTTTCTCTATAAATACTCCCCTTGGGAGTAGTTATAGGGGTTACAAAATCATTCTATTGAAGCACATTATTGCACTTCTCTCTCTAGCTCTCACTTCTCTCTAGATATACTCTATCATAAAGTAAGAGATTAAAAGTGATTTGTGTTAACCATGTGAATAAAAACTGGTACCATCAAATTGGGACAGAGATAGTACTACGTATTACTATTGGAATCATCAATCATACACACAGACATACCAACCCCCAACAATCATTTAATAAAACCAAACCAAACCGAACATATCCATTAAAACGAATCAATCTAAACCAAACATATCCACTTATAAATAAAGTCTATAGAGGATGAGATATGCACACTTGCCTCTCCTACTCTCCTAGGAACAGAGGAGCCGTTTGCCCGTTTGACCTCTTTGGCTAGTAGTAGTTTGTAGAGTAAACGTTGCGAAAGACGGGAAAACAAGGAGAGCAGTAATATACAAGAAAAATATTGGGGTTCTATCAGTCCTTCCTGAAGGCTTCTGTCAGAAAGGATTAGCAATATAACATTGAAATGCTTTTAAAAGTTCAGATACACATCAAACAATCCAAAACCAATTCACCGGTGGACTTCGAGTCCATCCTGGCCCAAACTATCAGAAAGGGTGAGATAAGTATTTCTTATGTGTACACTTGCAAAAGTTATACACATTCAAAACCAAGGATCTGTTCAAGCATTGCCATCCCACTCTTCATAGAACTCTTTAAGAAAATCTTCCATAACTTTGTGCCTTCTTTCAGCCCTCCTCTTCCCAGCCTGTCAATTAAAATGCATCAAACAATTGTAAAACAATGTTAAGAATTCAGAAAAATTTTACAGAGATGTTCCTAGAAGCAGTCATAAAAACCTGAGTTTTCATCAAGTCCTTCAACTTGAGAAGCTTCTCATGAAAATGGTTAATAGTTGTTTGCTCATCTTTGTTCATGTAGTTTTCCTTGGAAAGATCTGACCTGGGAAGGATTTTAGGATCATGAAGAACTCTATGCCTACTTCCACCAAATGTAAAACATCTTGCAATTCCTGAAAGTTGATACTTAGTTAAAAACAAAACAAACCTACCATATAGTAATCACATTTTGAAAGTTTTAGGAAAATGATAATGGCTGAAAATGCAACGAAAGACTTACACTCAACAGAAGCATCAACATGTATATATAGCTACCATTGATTACAAAGATTACAATGTGTAAATGACATGTTAAGAAGGATACACAATTCCTATAAGTGTTTCTTCATTAAAAGTTCAGTTTCAATTTATTGGGATACTAACAGTTCTGTGCAGGGTTGGCGTGATATGTGTTCATCATGAGTAAAGCCATGCAACAGGTATATATTGCAACTGAAAGTGACCAAGTTACCTATGGCACCAATTGCATCAAGTCGATCTGCATCTTGCACAACCTGAAATTCCAGTGAAGAAACACCATTTGCTTGACCTTCAAGTTCTTCTTTGAACCCTGAGAATAAATGCTAATACTTCATGTCCCAAAATGGAGGTCACATTTACTATTATTTGGTCAAACTGCATCTCTTTTATTTCCTTAATGTCTTTAAGAAATTGAATAATGGAAGAGTCAAGTCAAATCTTGTTTCACTAAAACTTAGTGTAGTACTTCAAAACATTTAATCTTTATTTACTAATACGGTAAAACCTAACTTAAATACTACTCCGTACAAAAATTAAGTTGAAAAAATAACTTAAGTCAAGCCTTGTTACTCGAACCAGAAAATCAACATCATGAATATGGCTATGTAAAAAATCAACAAATGCAACACGTAGTTTAATAAAATAAAGAATAGCCTAATAAAGTAACTATTTTAGTACACCGCCATGATATAACTTCAATAAAGCAACGTCCCTAAGAAAATTAGGGTGTAATATATTTATGAGAATAAAAAACACATTTATTCAACATAATCGGTGTTTACTACAGATTCCAATCTGCAACAAACTTTCTTAAGCAAAAGTGAGGCAGCAAACCATAGCAGAATATGCAAGCCAACATTTGAACCATGCATTTATTTGCTGACTATGGATAAACAGCAGTCTTTTCTCATAATTAAAACTAAGAATCAGGGACAATATAGTTCAACAAAGTCCACGCTTTTCCAATGTTAACCGCTGCTTTAGAAAGCAATACCACATATCAAAGCTTCCCACATGCATGATCATTGATAATGTGAATACTTCACAACACAGCTTTCTAACATCATTTGCATACCAAATTAGAGATAAACTACTACGCAAATATGCTACTATGACGAATTTCATGATAGATATCGGAGATCGACAGCACATCACCCTAGCCATATACAACATCTTACCCATTCCCTTTATGATATTCAAAACATGTATCCTCATGCTATCCTCTATCCCTTCATGGTCAAGGAATTCCTCAACGATTTTTGCCTCAGATGGGTCCCTGGGTACACGACAATACATACCATGGGGGAAAGTGAACGCGAATATAAGGATTGAGAAGAGTTGACGACAAAAAAATCAAATGTTTAAATGTGTAGAATAATGACTGATATGGATTTTAAAACCTAAAAAGTGAAGCAATAGCCTGGGGTCTGGATAGACATAAATGACATCTGTTATCTTTTATGCTCTGTAATTAAAATGCAGAATTCATTCTTGATTTCTGACATTCTAACCTATATGTCCAATTAATCAATCACAGACTGAACTCTATTTAAAAGCAATGCATGTCATATTGTCATATATAAATATATGCGTCTTTCATTGAAATATATATACTTGTAGAGTTATAGCCAACAGTGAAGGAATGGAAATGCAAACCTCACGTATTTGTAGTCACCTGAATATGCGCACGTAGCAGGAATTCCATTAGTTCAAGTATAAAGCATCAGCACTAGTAATAGAACATTTAAATTTAAATCATGTGCAACACTGCAACAAGTTAAGATAATTTCCTTCTATACCAAGCACAATATGATATTTCCATCATTTGCAATTGGAGCCAAAGACTCACTGTTTTTCGCTTGGGAATATGATGGAATAAAGCAAAATGACTTACTAAACTGTCTGCACTTCTTTGCTATAAAGCAGCAGTAAGTACATGCAATTTTCAACGCAATTTTCACTTTGGGTCATTCGGAAACAGTCTCTGATAGAGAGCAGGGAGAGTAGGGGGTGGGGGCGGACTTGATCCCACCTTCGTGGGCTAGCTGCGGGCCATTTAATTAATTTTAATTATTCCTTTTATTTTGTTTCCTAATTTATTTTGTTTTCTAGTATGATTTAATTAGGATTTCTATTCTTATTAGAATTAGAGGTTTCCTATTTCTATTTAGTTTCCTAGAATGGTTTAATTAGGACTTCTATTCTTATTAGAATTAGAGGCTTCCTATTCTATTTAGTTTCCTAGTATGGTTTAATTAGGATTCCTATTCTTATTAAGACTTAGAGGGTTATTTAAACCCCTAAGGAGGGCTGTTGGAATCATCAATTAATAATATTGGAGTTTTAGCTTTAAGCTTGGGCAACGGTTGCTAACCATTGATTATTTTATTTTCTGTTCTTTAGTACAGGGGTAAGACTACGTACATCCGACCCTGCATACCCCACTCAAGGTGTGGGAGCCTTTGCGGCAGTGGGGTAATGATAATGACCAAGCACAATATGATGAAACTGCCTGTATTTAGCAGAAAATCTTGTATGCATTGCATCAAATCATAATTTAAATCTATTTCATTATTTCCCATTCCAAATGCATAAAAAAATTCTATGAAGTACCAGATACTTCTTTTATAGAGGTAAAGAAAACAATTACAAGTTAATTGGTCTTGGAAGTTGGAATCTCAAGACAAAATGTACCTCTTTAAGTTTGGCAGGAGTACACCAAGCAAACATGTACTAGGTTTGATCAAGGTTGGGTACCGCCATATAAATATGATAATATGTACATGTGATGGTGTGCATGGTTGATTAGCTAGATGGCTTTTGAGGTGATAGGGCATCGTAGCTTGGGATTGCCTATAGTTTTGGTTTTTGTCCATATGATGTACATAAACATTCTTGGGTGATTCACTGATTCTATATATTTACATTTCATCCAAAAAAAGATAATATGTACGCAGATCATACACACAAGTGCGCTGCGCACACTTTGTTATACCTATGTGCATATACACGTATAGACATATGCTTGTGTGGAGTTTACTTAGCTAGTAGACGAATTAATATGAGTTATGCTCCTCATAACCCCTCATGTATAAAACATTGAACTCACATCGACAATTCTATTCTACCAAAAAAAGAATGTGATGGAATTTGACAAATAGAAAGAAAGAAACAATACCCAAAGTCTAGATGAAAACACTGTCAACTGAAAAACCCCCTTTTAAGGAAAGAATAAATGCGATGTGATAGCTCTCAAATGAATAAGTATGTTTACAAGAGCAAGAATAAGTTCCCATACCTATATCATGCAGAAGAGCAGCTAGTTCCACCTGTCATAAAGCAACACATGTTCTTAAATCCCAACCAGTGTATCAGCTCCAAGAATCAAGAGAAAGAAACTAATTAGTGTGCTACCAGAATCCTCAGTGTACATGAATGGTGACGAACTATAGTCTGTCTGATCCTACTAAAAATATTTACTTTATAAGAATTGTGCATCCCATCATCACTTAACACAATGTAATTGACATGCAATTCCAATATAAAATCTGCATCGGTTTAAAAATTAAATTAAAAATTAAATGAAGCGAACATTATATATCAAACGGAATTCTTTTTATTCATGATTTGAAATATAGGTTAGCTAGTAATCAAGAGTTAGGAGAATGTAATATTGAAAAATTCTACGTATCTATTAAGGGCTTAAGATATCAAAAGTTTTGATTGTTCAAGAAAAAATTCTCTGTAAAGGTTAATAAATAATCCGTGAAGAAATGCTCATTGAAGTAAACTTCAAAAAATAAAATCTAAAAAGAATCAAAATCCATGATACACTCATCCTCATATTGATAGTATCGTTGATTCAGGTCCTAAATTGATTGTTTTTATCATTCATGTCCATTATTGGAAAAAAATTCTTATCAATGAGAGAGAAGTTAATTTATTTAAACTCTAATAACGACTTGGGTTCATCTTAAAAGGTACGATGAGTAGCTTAGGGCCTTCTAAATAAGTTTATAACTTTGTATTTGTTCTGTTTTTGCACCAATTGATTGGGGACAGTGATATCCTATAAGATGACATACTATGAGGAGTAGCTTAATAAGTTTGTTTATCTTTGTTTTAGTGACACCTGGTTGTAAAGATATTTTGTGAGCTTCTTAGTGACGGATAACTTTTAATAACTGATAAGATCTTAAGAGAAAAAGGTTGCAACTTTTTTATAAAAGTAAAGGGTTTTGATTTAGTTATGTTTGGCATAACAACATTTTATGACTAAATAGCTATTAAAAATTCTTGTGTCAAACATACACCTAAGAGCTTTTAAGCTTTTTAAATAGTACAAAAGCTACAAGTAACATACCCTTCTTATCATATAAAGTAGCATACATGCGCACCCAGACCAAGAACTCAAGAGTTAGGATTCACTCAACACTACAAATGATCATTGACTTTGAACTGAGTGTAGACTGTAGAGCAATATAATGGTCACATTGACACTAAAATCATGTTTAGAAACTGTGAAGTAGGGCACCATTTTATATTTTTATGTGTTGTCCCCCAAAGTAAATTCAGGGACAAGCAAACTCACCAAATCATTGCTGCATTTGGAGACAATTTAAACAATTTGTGCAACTGTAAAAACGATTCTTTTTATTTGGACGTTGTTGCTTAAATCCCTGATTATAAGAAAGGCAAGAGTATCCCGAAGAAAGAAAAGAAGAAAGGAGAAATTTGCTTGCAAAAGTACAACTATCACCGACAAAATATCCTCACTAAGAGTATAACAGCTAAGAAGAAAAGAAAATAGACACATACAGTAAACATGGAGTCGGGAGAAGAGGAAAGGCCTTCTTCGCGGGCGAGAGAAAGAGTGAGGTCTCGCACTCTGAAGGCATGTGCAGCATCATGAGATGCATCGTTCGACTTCATGGCTCTCTCCACCAATTCCTCCGCCTTTTGGATGACATCTTTCTGCCCCATCTTCCGGTCCTAGAGGAATTCTGATTCGCACATAATCTAAGGTATATTTGAATCTAAGGTATATTTGAATCAGGTGGTAGAGTTTTAGAAGTCAACCATTTCAAAAGTATAGGGGTATTGAATTTTTCATTTATGACATACGATCTTTTTTCTTTATCTTTAAATTTTCTTTTTTCGCTTTTAACATTTTGTTTGAAAATAGTGTAAACCTTGAATACAACCCCAAATTAATCTTTCTCCTTCTGTTCGTACTTCGCTTCCTCTTCCACAAAGTGTTTCTTTCTCTCTTCAACCACGCCGGAGAAATAAGCGTTAGAATTTCAACATTAGCTCCGCTGTCGTTGCTTCTCGGCTCCGACGCCTTCATTTCTCGTCTCCTCTGACGTCGCTCTTCGATTCTATCACTCTAGTGCCAACATCAAGCAAAGTTGGATGAATTTCGACCCCATTGCCTCTCACTGAGTGCGAAATTGACGGTGTTAAGGTCCATCCTATATCTCAGCTAGAGAACGCCACAGAGATATCGTAGTTTAATCGCTTGAAGCAGCTTTCATGTTTGGTCAGTTTTTGTGGCTCTCATACATGTATAATATAAATCTTCTCCATCATCTAAAGACTATAATTCCATGCATTAGATTCATGTATGAAATCTGTTTGATTTGTTGTCTATGCCTTATTTCATACTCTTAGGTGATTTCGATACTTAAAACAATTAACAAGAGACAGAGAAATTCCCTGTGTTGGTCCAAAATAAGACGCTCGTAAGCTTTTAGGAAAGTTACGTACGACACTCAAACAGGAATTAGGAAAGCAAGAACGAGAATGGAAAGTAGCTAGCACATTTAGTTGCCATAAATAGCATGTAGAATTCGTTTTCTAATATGAATTACAAGTCGCCTTTTATAGGAGTATACAAATCGTAACCGCAAATGATAATAATGACTAATTAAATACAACATTAATACGGAATTAAATACATAATTAATAGCGCATTAATTGCTTGACTGTTACTCTTCCGTGTTGGGAGGTCGGCCGGACTGGCAGGCTCTCATATGACATGACCCGGTGGCGCGAGTGTGTGTGCTCGGTCATTGTACGAGTGTGTGTGCTCGTCCGGTGTACGTGAGTGATCGGATTTCATAAGTCTGTTTTTCAATGTTAAAATTACACACGCTCAACAAGAGTTAAAGCAATTACACCACTTAAAATATCTTTTTAAATGTTTCAATTTATGATACGTAGTATATATATTTTTTCGGTAAATGTTTTCTTTTTGTATCAAATATAGAGGATTTTTGGATACTTAGCTCTTATTTAGGCCATTTGTTGAAGGGCTGAACGGATAATATTCTTCTGATTTCCTTGGACCCATCTAAATTGGTAAAACGCTGGCAAACATGTTGTTGATGATATCCGAAGAGGTGGGCTCCCGAGGGGAGGGGAGATATCATCTGTCCTTACTGCCGCCGTAGAGGGAGGAGGAGCCTCACCATCATCCCCAATGTAGGAGCCGTGATCGGCTTGCTGTTAGATTGGAGTATCTCGTCTAGTGCCAGATGCTTTAAAGTGTCGGTTTCTCTCACTAGTGGAAGGCTTCTCATCCTTGCTACCTTGCGCCTCAATCAGCTGCCATGCTTCCCCAGTCATCCAGGGCCATGGTTCGCAAACCGAGGAGACACGCCTGGAGGGCATCCGCAGGTTCTCGTCGGAGCTACTCGTCTGTTGCAGCATCGATCTCCACCCCAAAATTGGCTGGTGCGGACCTAGGTTGATTCGCCCAGTTAATACAACCCTAGGCGAGCGGAGGAACAGTACTGAGACGGAAGTGTAGGCGGCCTAAGAACGGAGACTAGAAGCTTCCGATTTTGAGCGTCGATGGGTTTGAGGTTTTCTCCTTGCCAGCGGCCATTAATGGCGGAGATGCCACGCTCAGTTTCCCAAGGAGTATAAATCAGAAGAAATTGCGTCACTGATTCCTCAGCGATGAGTCGAAATATCAAAACCAAAATCCTTCTGGCTCCATCACAGATTGTTGCTAGCTTTTCCGGGAAAACTCCATATCTAGAATCAGTTTTCGAAGGATCTAAAAATTTTCAAAAACCTTCGATCTTTTTCCACCCTTTTTTCTTGAAATTTCCTGTTTTTTCGGGTTTTCCTACTAAAGTGATGTGAGAGAGACAGAAGCTTTCAATGAAAGCACCAATGTTGGTCCAAAATAGGACGCTCGTAAGCTTTTAGGAAAGCTACGTACGACACTCAAACAGGAATTAGGAAAGCAAGAACGAGAATGTAAAGTGGCTAGGAGATTTAGTTGCCAGATATAGCATGTAGAATTCGTTTTCTAATATGAATTACAAACCGCCTTTTTATAGGCGTATACAAATCGTAACCGCAACTGATAATAATGACTAATTAAATACAACATTAATACGGAATTAAATACATAATTAATAGCGCATTAATTGCTTGACCGTTACTCTTCCGTGTTGGGAGGTCGGCCGGACTGGCAGGCTCCCCGCTGGCTGGCCAACAGGCTCCAGGTTGTGGACTTGGATACACGGCTCCAAGTTCGGGGCTTGGGCTGATTAGGCTCTGGGCCTAGTCCCATTACTCCATCACCCTGCATTAGGTGATTAAAATATTTTTAGAAATCGCTGCTACATCTATTTGCTAATTGTCCGGTTGCAGCAGAAGTTTGGAAGGAAACAAATTGGGCAGATTTGGCTTTGACGGCTATTACTTTTCTGGACTAGATTTATCTTATTTTTCAGCAATGCAGGGAGGAGGAACTTTGTGGATTCATTGTTGGTTGTTGGGCTTTGTGGAGTGAAAGAAATAGAAGATATTGGTAGGGACGTAGTTTGATGCCTGTGCAGGTATTTCAGCAGGTAGGCTTCTATAGTGGATGGAAAATGGCTCCGAAATCTAATACTTCGGGCATGGGAGAGCTGCAGCTAAGTCCAACCATTTGGTGTTGTTCAGGTGTTGGTAGGTTGATGGTTAACACAGATGCATCAATGACTGATGAGGTTGGAGGATTTGGATGGGTAGCTAAGAATAGCTCTGGGGAGTTTGTTGTCTGGGTAGCCAAGCCTTGGCCAGGAAAGGTGTCTATGCGGGACTGTTGTTTATGAGAATGGGGATTGCTCTAATAGTTTTTAATTTTGCGGGTCCTGAAACCCTTCATTTACTATGCTTATGAACTTCAAAGAAATGGCCTCTTTCACTATTGAATACGCTGCTTAGAATCTTCAAAGAATGGCAATTGGTCAGTTTGAGCTTATTAATCAGATCCAGTGTAACTATATATGAATATGTGTTGTGATGTTTATGTAAGCTTTATTTTGATATGATGGCTATTAATGATTGTAGCCAATTTTATAACCTGCAGATCAGATATCTGTCTCTATTTTGTGCTCTATTTTTTATATACTACAATACTTATTAGATATATGTCTTGTTTTTTGTTGCTTTTTGTTGTTTTTTATTAGTTTCTTTTTGTTGCACCGTGTTTCTTGTTGTTGTTTTTTGTTATTCTTTGTTATTTTTAAATTGTTGGTTTTTGTTGCATGATGTTTCTTTCTGTTGCATATTGTTGCGTTTTGTTGCATTATATTTCTTATTGTTGATTTTGATACTTATTATCATTTATTCAGGTTTCTATTCATCTTTGACTACTTCCTTGGAATAAAAAACGCATATAGATATATATACAATCACCTAAATCGATGATTCGGGTTTATGAATATAAACAACACCTCAAAACATAAAGAAACAAAAAAAAACAAAAAATAGAGTTATAAACAAAAAGAAACAATTAGCAACAAAACTAACAATAAAATGATTATATTAATTTTAAAAAATAAAGTTCTATAATAAATACTATGTAGTACTTTATAAGATTCATTTTTTCAATTTTTAATTGTTTTTTGAGTTCATTGTTTTAGTTTTTCACATTTTTATTTTCTGAGTTTTTAAATTATAAATTTATTCAAATTACAATAATTTTCTGATATTTTATAAGTTTTTGAATATATTTCAAGTTTTTAATTATTTATAAAATTAATTTGAATCTTCTTGAATGTTTTCAAATTTAATTAATTTCTTTTAATATGTATATCTTCCAAGTTGTAAATATAACTACTTCACAAAAGTTTCTAAGTAGTTTCATACTCCTTATTATAATTGTTTCAAAACTTTTGTCTTATTTTACGCATTTATTTATAATTTTTTTACTATTTTAATCCTTTTGTTAAACTTTTAATTTCTTATATCTTTGACATTATATATTTTTATATAAATTATATGAACTATTTAAAAAATTACATTACAAGGTCGTATTTTGTACCTTTTTACAATTTCCCACATTTATAACTATCTCAAACTTTTTAATGGTGATTTTGAGTTTTTTATTTTAGGTTTTCTATATGTTTTCTCATTTTGTGTGATTTATTTTTTAAAATTTCAGTTTCTTTAATTTTTTATAATTTAATTTACAATTTTCCAATTTTGAATGTTTTGGATTTTAGTTTTTTATTTTGAGTTTTTATAGTTTTTTTAAATCAATCCCCTTTTTTCAATTTTATTGTTTTCTAAGCATTATCATTTGTGAATTAATGATTTTTTACAATTTCTATTTAAAAATAAAAAATTGAGTGCATACACATACTTTGCATTCGTTTCACAAGAGAGCCGTGCCTCAAACCTTACGTGCATGTATTAGGAGAAGACATTAGAATCAACTTGCTTCATACATACAAATGAGGTCTATTTTTGAAAAGAAATTTGAAGTAGTCTATATTTGAAAGAAACTTTTAAAGGTGAAAAAAAGTGATATATCTTTCTTTTTTTGTCTATTCCTGAAAAATTCCCTTTTAAAAATTCATACTACGTAAAAGTTTAGGCCCATTTCTATCTATGTGCAAACACGGTTGTGGTTTGATATTTGTTTAGCACCTATAATTAAGGGCAACTCGCTAAAGGTCTGTTTAAGTTTGTGGAAGTGACATACCGTTCTTATCTAATGATTATTTTATTAAACTTGATAACAAATGAATAGGAATAACATACTCCGTATGAACTTGCTGAAATAATATTCTGCATCGTCATTGACATCTGATTTTTCGTATGGCAGTGATTATCATATAAAGGTGAATTTGAGGATAAGATAGGAATGGCTAAATTATCGAATTGGTAAAAAAGAAGGCAGTTTACCAAATGAGTTTTTTACATAAATATTACCAATACTGTATGGAGTTACAAAATGGTGACTATTAATACGGAACACGTACAACATCATGGGAGTAAGTCAGGGTAAAAAGTCATATTTTTGTTAGTGGAGTTTAAAGTAGTAATATTTGTGTATTTTTTTCTTACCAAATTGCGGATCGAGTCTTTGTCAATTTTTTTTTCAAACTGTCCAGCCAGACGTTGGGGATTGGAGTGGCCTATCAGCCAGTCCTGAAAAATAGCATCCGGAACCGGAAGACCAATCTCGAGCCGGTCCCAAATAGTGTCGAGCCCGGTATTGGCCCGTTCGGTATCGGTGGACAGGGTCCATGCCTACTTTCATATAAAAGTGTATGGATTTAAAAGTCATTTATTTAAAAGTCATTCATTTTAGAAGTCTTCGGTTCGAAAAGTCCATGAATTTAAAAGTCAACGAATTAAAAGTATATGAATTTAAAAGTCCATGAACTTTTTTAAAAATCCATGGAAAAAAAATATCCACCACAATCCATATACAATACACCCCCCTAAAGAAATTTGCTTGGTGTACACACATGCTTAAGCACCAAGTGTAATTGTCTACACAAATAACTACGTTTGGATTTGATAAAAGAAAGCGTCGGTGATTCCAAAAAATGAATTGTCCATGCACAAACAATTCAAGAGCACAAATACTTCCCTTTACTAAACACAAGCGTAATTGTCTATGCACAGACAATTACACTTGTGTGTGTAACAAAGTGTGTAAGCCGGTGTGTACACCAAACAAATTTGTAATCTAAAGGGGTGTATTGCATTAGAATTAGGATTTAGCAACAAACTTATTAAAGTACATGAATTTTAAAAGTTTAAAAGTTTAGATGTAATTAATGTATACTTTTAAAAGTTTTAAAAAATCTTGGTGTATTCAATGTAGGCTTTTAAAAGTCTATATTCAAACTTCCGTTCATTCTTATTGAAGAACCATTTGAAGAATCGTTAATCCAATATTGATTCGGTTCTAAGTTTGTTTAGAAGAACGAACTGATATACGAATCAATAATATTAAATCAGTGCCATTATGGTATGATGATGTCACTTAACCATTAAATGTCATTGTGTTTCATCGTTAGACCGTTAACACATAAAAATATAATTTTAAATTAATAAATCTCTAATCATAAATAAGTAACCAAAATTTGACAAGCTAATAATGAAAAGAAAAAAATTATTAAGAACAAAAACTCAATTACACTTATACTCGTACCATATGAAGCCGTGAGTGTAACTCTTGTGTAATGATAAATGTGCTTAATGTAACAATTGATTATAAAGAGACTGGGCTTATTGCGCAATCTCAAAAATTTGAGTTTTCTTATTGATAAAAATAAATTTGCATGCTTATGTTGCATTTGTTTCATTTATTTAATTGTTTCTTATCGTATTATATAGAGAAAATTACTCATGTTAAGATTAAAACATACGTAGTAGCATTTTCTTAAAGTATGACCAGATGTTTGATTTTCCTTAAATAGGACTTAACATTACATTTATATCCCTGATTTAATTAATCAATATAATTAATTGCCCCTAGTTCCCTTGCATAACCAAAGTCATTTTGTTTGTGGCAGATCAGTATGATGACGGCAGTGGCGAACTCCGGTGACGGAGGCGGACGACGGTGAGATTCAGGCAGATCGGTAGCGGCGATCTGGATGAATAATAATAATAAATTAAAAATACTCATTCAGATAAGAAATATTCAAATCAGAAGGATTCATATCAGATCAGAAGTTTCATATTAGACCAGAACAAATCAGAAAGATTGAGATCAGATAAAAAAGATCAGCAAGATTTTGATCAGATCAGAAAGATTCATATTACAAAAATTCAAATAAAAATATTCAGATCAGATGAATAAAACATCTAAATTGTAGCAAAAAATTGAGTACAAAGAATATTCCGCTAATATTCCCATTTCTTCCCTTAAAATCACAATATTTAAACAGTTATTCAATTGTTGTGTTTATAACTGAAGAAATGGGAATATTAGAGAGATATTTCCTCCTCAACTAGTATAAGGAAAGAATTCTAACAATTCAGATGATTTGATGTAGCAAACAAGGATCTTTGAAGTTTTTCAAGACTTCAAAAGCTTTCGATGTGGGAATAATTTAGATAGTTAATGTGCTGGGTTTCACACATCATTTGATATCGATAATAATTAAGGTTTGATGCTTTTAGCATCGTAGTTGGCAAGGGCCATAGAAAACTTACACTTCCAAGTCGCGCCCTCGTCTCTTCTAAACGACAATTCGGCAATGAAGGTCAAAGGAGGTAGATAAGTTAGCAAGGTATATGATACTCACATTTTTAGGCATCCTAATATCCTATGCAGGATTAATATTTGACCTATTCACGGTCAATGCGATCTAGATTTGAATTATTTTTTAATTATTATGTAGTATATATATTTTCCTCAATTGTTGATAATCTACTCATTTTATGCCGATTGTTAAACTTGACAACCATGTTTTTGTGATATTATAGAATTCTCAATGTTCCTCACTTTCAATAGACAATGAATATGTAATCTCTTTATCGTTATCTGTGCCGTGCACGAGATAAAATGATTTTGGTTTTTAGTTTTATTATATACTCCTCCATTCCAAATTGATTTGCAAAATCAATATTTTTTGGTCAACCAATTTTTAAGTTAAATCTTTTATATTGATAATTAATTCAATTTTTAATAATTAAAATTTATGTATTCAGAAACTACATTAAAATTTTTTCAAAGTTGCAAACTCCAAATTAGAATATATAATTTAAAAGTTGACATTCAAATTAAGTGAGTAAAATGAAACTGTGTGATTAAGAAAAATTTAATTTTGCAAATCAATTTGAGACAGAAGTTGTATACGTTTGTGCGCACACACGTGCACGCTCTGACATATGTATGCGGGTTATTATAACTAATAATTGAAAATCACATATTAACATATCCCCAATAGTATATGCCCCTAAAAATGAATATGTATGTATTTAATATAAGAGAGTTTCCGAAATAGGACTAAAACAGTTTGAAAATTCCAAAATAGGACTATCATGTTTTTTATTCCCAAAATAGGACTAATTACTGCCATGTTTAGAAAATAATGTCATGTTTGAAGTTTGATACTGCCAAAACTGTTTTGAAACTCGTTTAATATAATGTAAACGAGAAAACATGGTATTATGAAATAACATGTGAACTCTTTTGTACATGGATGGACTTTCAAATTTTTCTATTTTATATGTAATATTACATAATACTACATAGAATACTTAATAGGAGATTTAAATGAAGAAACAACTAAAATAATTTACATTACTTGAACAAATAAACAATATAATGACCCATTGTTTAAGACTTAAGATACTTATTATATAAAAATTTCTAATTTTATAATGTTTAATTATCTTTATTAGATAATCAGTAAAAGACTAATGGACTAAACAAATTGATGATTATAAAACAATTAAAACTATGAAAGTGTAAAATGGGTAAATTAAACAACTTCAAGTCTACAAGGAATTAAACGACCAAATGATACAAGTAATAAAATCTGAAATATTTAAAACATCTACAATTCTACAAACCTACTTCCAAAAAAACTAAAATTTAAATAGGTAAATAACAAATAAAAAATACAAAGGCTTGATGGACATTAATTTGAAGTCCACCTCCATCTTCACTTTTTGATTATCTGAATCTTATCCCATTTAAATTAAAGGTTGAAAGTGTTGCACGACTAACAATACAAAAAACAACGATATTGTCACGAATTTTGGTCACGGATTTGGTCCGTGACAACTTTGTCACGGATTTTGTCACGGAATTATCTCACATGTCACCAAAAAGCTTTGTCACGGATCAATCACCTCCTTCCCAGCAATCTGATGCTCATGGAAGCTAAGCACCTCTCATGTGATTCCGGACATCCCCTCAAGCTCCCGCGGAGGCGCAAGTGGCTCTCACTCTCCTATCCCCTCTAATGAAGTGGAGCACAAGAATCCCAATGCTTTTTGAGTTACACCTCTAGCGGTTCATAGGTAATTAATTAGCTCTCTCTAATTTGAAAGAACATACTCGCCACAAATATAAATTGATATTATAATTTTATGAATTTTGTAAAGCGATAAAGAGGCGCTACAAAGAATCAAAAACATAGTCGGCGGACATTTTAGGGGGACTTGGTCTTCTTACTTGGAGGTTGACAATGCCACCCGTGAAATTTGGTGGAACATGTTCAAGGTAAAAAAATAAATAATTTTTCTTACATTTTTGTAACTTAATTTTAATAAACGATATATACATTTTGCAATGAAGCGCCAACATCGATGGAATCCATGGGATGAAAGAGATATCATCAAAGAATATCATTTAAGAGTCTCTTCTTGGATGAGATCCCGTTTTCATCACGCCAGATTTCAAAATAAAAAGCCCAAATTCCTTTCGGATGATGTAAGTGGGTGGAAGCCATAGCCTTGCCGAATAATACCGTCAAATCGGTGGTAGATTTTGTCAATATTAGATTGTGATATTCCCTCTAATATCACAATTTTAGATTTTTAATTTTCTAGTGAAGGCCATCCGGAGTTTCTTGGGACATGCCGGTTTCTACCGGCGATTTATCAAGGATTTTTCGAAAATTGCAAAGCCACTTTGTGATTTACTAGTCAAAGATGCTCATTTTGATCTCACTCCACAATGTCTCCAAGCCTTCAACACTCTCAAAAAGGCTCTTACTACGGCCCCTATTAATATCTCACCGGATTGATCTCTACCCTTTGAACTAATGTGTGATGCTAGTGATCATGCAATTGGGGTTATCCTTGGACAAAGGAAGGACAAAAAGCTTCATGCCATCTATTATGCCTCTAGACTACTCCATGATGCGGAGTTAAATTATGCCACTACCGAGAAAGAATTCTTAGCCGTTATTTATGCCTTTGATAAATTTCGGTCATACCTCATTGGACAAAAGGTAATCGTCTACACCGATCACTCCGCCATCCGGTATCTTATGAGCAAGAAGGATGCAAAACCAAGATTAATTTGTTGGGTGTTATTACTCCAAGAATTTGATCTTGAAATTAGAGATAAAAAAGGGAGTGAGAATCTTGTTGCGGATCACCTTTCCCGTCTTGAAGCTAATGCCACAACCAATAAGGAAGTCATTCATGATGATTTCTCTTATGAACAAATCATGGCGATTAATGGAGGGTCATTGCCTTGGTTCACGGATTTCGTGAATTATCTTGCAAAGGAAGTTCTTCCTCAAGAGTTCACTTTTCACCAAAGGAAGAAATTCCTAAATGATGTCAAGCACTATTATTGGGATGAACCTTACCTTTTCAAGCATTGTGCCGATGGTATCATCCGGAGGTGTGTTCCAAACGAAGAAATGTTACCTATTCTTGAGCATTGTCATAATCTTCCTTGTGGAGGGCATCATGGCCCCGACCGGACAGCCACCAAGGTACTTCAATGTGGTTTTTTCTGGCCTACTTTATTCAAATATGCTAGAAGCTATGTTCAAGCTTGTGATCGCTGTCAACGAACCGGTAATTTGAGCCGAAAAAGTGAAATGCCACAAAACATGATTCTTGTGGTAGAAATCTTTGATGTTTGGGGGATTGATTTTATGGGTCCATTTCCAAACTCTCATGGGAAGGAGTACATTCTTGTAGCAGTTGACTACGTCTCGAAGTGGGTGGAAGACATAGCCTTGCCGAATAATACCGTCAAATCGGTGGTAGATTTTGTCAAGAAAAATATATTTTCAAGGTTTGGGGTTCCAAGAACTATCATTAGTGATAATGGAACCCATTTAAAAAATGCTCACTTCATCGGCCTCCTAAATAAATATGGGTGTCTCTTCAAAAGTGGAGCTACTTACCATCCTCAAACAAATGGTCAAGTAGAGGTCTCTAACAGGGAAATCAAGTCTATACTTGAGAAGACGGTCAACTCTTCTAGGAAGGATTGGTCTTTGAAACTTGATGATGCCTTATGGGCATATCGAACGGCTTTCAAAACGCCTCTTGGTATGTCTCCTTATAGGCTTGTATACAAATCACGTTGGGCTATTTCCCAACTCAACTTTGATCCAACACTTGCAAAGGAAAGAAGACTCCTACATCTTGATGAGTTAGATGAACTCCGGAGGGAAGCCTATGAAAACTCCCGCATATACAAGGAGAAAGCAAAAGTGTGGCATGACAAGAACATTTGTCGGAGGGAATTCCAAGTTGGGCAGAAAGTACTCCTATTCAACTCAAGACTCCGGTTGTTTCCCGGAAAATTGAAGTCCCGTTGGTCGGGACCGTTCGTCATCACCGAGGTCCGGCCATATGGAACATTGATGATCCAACAAGGTACTAATGAACCCTTTGCTGTGAATGGACATCGTTTGAAGCTCTACATGGAACACCACAACACCTTCGCCACCATCTCTTGCAACTTGGAGGATTGATCACGAAGAACGTCCGGCCAACGACGTTAAAGAAGGCGCTTATTGGGAGGCAACCCAATTTCATATCCTTTTTATTTACATGTTTTACTTTTATTTGGTTGTAAAGAAGTTCGAAGTCTTAAGCGAAAATTTGACAAAAATGGGCGAAATAGGTGAAAACGACGAAAGCCGCCCGGCCTCTACCAAAAGCCGTCCGACTGCCTTATCAACTCCAGGTATTTTTCTCGGAAGCGAAAGGTGCCCGGCTTTCACCAAAGCCGCCCGGCTTTTGGCGCCGTAGCTTTATTCACGTTTATTTAAATTGAAACCCACCCGGGTTTCGTGTAAGCCGCCCGACTTACGTGCGCAGACCTGCTACTGTCAAGCGAAAGCCACCCGGCTTTCGCCAAAGCCGCCCGGCTTACGGGTTGCGGATTTTTTAAAACCCCCTCTCTTTTAAACACAAACACACGCACACCTTCCAAACTTCGGCCGACGTTCAAGCTCCAGCAGCCATACATCCGTTTTCTCCCATTTCTTCTCCAATTTCAAGCTCAAATCAGGTAATATCCACGCATTTTCACTCCTTAATCCTTATTTCACAGCTTTTACATCATTTAATCGATAGTTTTGATTGTTCTTCCCGATTTCGAAATTTAGGGTTTATGCAAATTGATAGCTATTAGGCCAAATTCATTGCATGATATCTTGTTATTGTTGCCTATATTGCTTGTATGAACCATTATAACCTCTTTTCAAGTTATCATTTTCAAAAATTTTGAAATTTTTGCTACTTGATTAAAATTGGGGCTTAGGGTTCGAAATTCTTATTTAAATTTGGGGATTTTCAATTGAATTGTTGTGATTAATTCTTGATGAATGAGATTGTGAGTATGTTGTCCCTTGTTGTCCTAAATTGTGATTATAGTCAATTTTTAGGGGAATCCATGTCAAATTTTTTTGAGAAATTGACTATAATCTTTTGAGTTTGTAGGTTGAAATGGCTTCAAAGGGCAAATCTGTGAGAAATGAGGCTGGCCCGAGCAACCCCAAGCGGGCTAGGAACAACAAGGCACCCACGGCCTCCTCCACCATCTTGCCAGCTAGTCGGTTTGTCAACACTCAGTGCTACGAGCGTTACCTAGAGTCCCGGGACAACGACTTTGTGATTGAAAAGACAGTCTCACAACCTATTGATCACGAGTTCCAGCTCACCGCGGCCTTCGCCAATATCAATTGGGAGCCGATGCTACATTTCCAAGGCACTTTCTACCCGGAACTCGTCAAGGAGTTCTTCGCAAATGTTGACGGCAATTACGCCCAAAACATGATTGAGAGCTGAGTCAAAGGGGTCAAAATTACTATCACCAATGACCTTTTGAGCTCTCAATTTCACATCACCAAGTTCGGCACCCCTTTCGCCCCTTCCCAATCCGGAACGATGAATAGCGACGGGAACTACAACCCCGTGGATGCTATGCAATATTTTGGGTTGCAAGGACTTGATCTAATGACCAAGAACCTTGGCCAACCACACATCCGGACCCAGCTTTTGATGTACCTCTATTCATTCAACGTCATGCCGAGAGAAAGCGGCTACAACAAAATCCGAAGTGCCGACCTCTACTTTGCATATAGGATGCACACCGGGCTTGGTCGTCATGAGGGGATTCCTCTCTCGGGCATCATCATCAAACAATTATGGAGCGCGGTCTTAAGCAACAATCAAGATAAGGCCTTCATTTTTCCTATTTTGCTCTCTAAATTTTTTGAACATTTTGGTGTTAGTTTTAGAGGAGGAGAAGAACGGTAGATGCACGCCGTGCTTGATGATAGTGTCATGACACACCTTCGCTATTTCCAACCGCCGCACGGAGGACCATGGAGGTGCGTGGCGAAATTCCATAGAGTTGTACCGGAGGAGAATGAAGAAGAGATGATGGAAGGTGGGGAGCCCGCGGGAGACCATGAGGAGCACCATGAAGAGGAAGCTCACGTACCCCAAGCCGGAGCTCCTTACGACATGAACTACTTGACCGAGCAATTTGGTCAAATCCGCACGGAGCTTGCGGTGCATAGACGGAACTTGAGAGATCAACGCCACGCTATCCAATGAATGGGGAGTCATTTGTGGAGCATGAACTACTATTGTCAAGAGCTGGGGAGACATTTCAACATACCACCACCACCGCCCTACGATCCAAACTTCTTTTTCCCTTCCCGAGAAGATGGAGATGAGAATGATGAGTAAATTTGACAAAAAAGGGAAGTGTACTAAACTTAAAACAATTCTTATCTAGTCTTGCTAAAACTCCTTTTTGTTGTTAATTCGACTCTAATGTATTTTTTGTGCTATGTGTGTATTACCTTGCTTTGATTGCTCTTTGTGATCCACATTGAGACATTGTAGAACAAGTGTGTGGGGGGGGTCTTTAAACTTCTAAATTGCAGGATTTTTTCTCCTTAATTTGTTCACTTTTGGTCCATATTTTTTCAAAAATATTTTAGCAAAACCCTTGTCCTCCAAAACTTTTTTCAAAAGAATTTTTCTTAAGGTTTGGACTTAATAATTCCAAAAAAA